GTTCCCAGCTGCGTTCCTTATGGCCCAGCCCTCGGCAGCCCCAGGAAGGTGGTGGGCAGTGCTTCTCCACAGTCTGGAGGCCCATTTGGACTGGCTGTTCTGCGGAGGACGCGCTCCCCGTGCCGTCACATGTGAACTGCTGCTGTAGAAACACCTTAAAACTTCATACGTTAACTGAAGGCTTGCTCACAATGATTTCAGTGCCTTTCAGTGGAACCGATGCAAAAGAGTACTTGCAAATCTGCCGTGATTTGATTGCTCTTCAGCTAGTTCCCAGTCAGCTGTTTTATTGCTGTACATGTAGCATTTTGACCCTTAGGATATATTTTTAGAGCAGCTGAATGCAGCAGTTGTTGTGGGAAGTGCTGCAGAATGCCCCAGGTTTTGGTTTAATTTTGTTTTCTTTAATGGATATAAAAAAAGAATTGCCTGACAGTCTTGTGTTTTATACGATTTTTATTTCCAGTTGATATTTGTTTTGACCTACGTTAGATTAACTTAGTGTGCCTTATATGTGTGCATGCACATGCCTCCAGATTAGATTTGACTTCACAAAAGTAGACCACGCATCCTGAATTTGCTTATAGGGCGTTATCGTGATGGCACTCAAGAACAATTCCAGTGGAATGATGCTGTTCTGTGGTTGGTAGGATCAAAGCCTGGGCCTTAGCATCTGTGTATTTATAAACTGGTTTTGAATGATATTAATGAAAGAACATTGATTTTGTCACCACATGAATTTAATGCTCCATTTTAAGTTAGATTTTGCCACAAACACACTCTGTCCAGATACCTTCACAGAGCTGTCTGTACGTGTTTGAAAGCACAGATGTGTGGCTGCTCTGTACGTAGTGTTTCTGAGTCTGTCCAGTTTGGGCTGCTCTGAGAGTAGGTGTCTGGTGTTCAGACTGAATGGAGAGTTACCTGAACCCCAGATTTTTTTTGAAGCAGTGTATGCTGGACAAAAACGTGGTGTCAGTGGGTTCAACCAACCTTCAGTAAGTTTGTCACTGTGACAAATTAATGGTTCTTTAAAAACCATTCCAATCAGTGGTAGTTTTGAACAGATCTGTTTTTCTGTGGATGTGTGTCCAGAGGTTCAGACCTACAAACATCAGAGGAGAAAGGCACTGATGGAAAGAGAAGAGCCAAATAGTGCAGGGGGTGGAATTGGCTGAGGATGGGTCCTGCCTGCTCCTTGCCTTCTGTGCATCTCCTGCACTGAAACTTGTAAACTTTGCCAAAGCTGTAGCTTTATCAAACCCAGATGATGTAAATAACTCTTTTTGGAAGTAGAATGGATTTTTGGTGTTTCTTAGAAGTATGATCACATGCTTATGGTATAGTTGACTTGTAGGAGATTGTGTGTTGTAATTTCTACACTCCTAATGTCGAGGTGTAGGAAAGCTTGCTTTACGCGCTGTACTGAGCTTCCTGTAGTTCCTTGATGGTATGTAACAATGGATAGTATTGCTTGGAAGAAAAGTAATTTACTCCAACATGTAGAGTTCATTGGACCAAGCACTCTGTCCCTGTGAAAGAAATGACCTGGAGGGTTATTGGGGACCGTAGCTCAGGGAGAAGTATTCCTCAGCGTTTTCATATTGTCTTGTTCTTTGCCTTCTTGCAGGTATAACCTCAGTTGTGGTATGACATGGGTACATGATGAAGCTGATGAAGACGAAGGGAGTATTTAGTATGGCAAAGGCAACACATAGCTGTGACGGATAGTACTACAACTGACACCCTAGCCCCGAGTGTGTCCCTGACACACCATACGGGCTATGAATCTTTACCTAGCTTTGCCTGGTTCTGTCATTTGCATGTGCTGCTTAGACGAAAGCAGTTTTCTTATGGAGAACTTACTGTATTGTGGTAGTCCTTCAGCCAGCCTGGATTCCTAGCAAGGTTGTTCTATTCACTCAACCATTGACATGCCAAAAATTTAAACACATGCTTACGCATGCGAGAAGAGTTAAATTCCTGCCTAAGTTCCTATGGTCCTGGCAATTTAACACCAGATTTACACTGATAAAATTTATGTAATTGTACTTACTCATTTTAATGTGAACAAGAGTAGATTCACTGCATCTTAAAATGTGGTTCCACATGCTGTTTTCCAAAGTGGTTTGAACTCTGCACCCAGCTCTGATTCCAACCTTTTCCCTCTCAGCACTGCAGCTTGCTAACCTTTCTGGGTTTTTACCACCGAAAAGTTGATCATCAGTGCTGGCTTTGGTCCGTCTTTCCTACAACCAGCTTATTTTAAACTGGATCCGTGAAAAGGTTGTCTTACTGCAGGGCTGCTTTTAACTTGGATTATTTCTTGAGCTGGGTTTGCCACTGAAGCTAAAATACCATGCAGCTGCACCGTCAAATGGTTCCATAGTCTTCACAGGCTGGACCAATGTGACACTGATCACCCAGAAGGAAGAATTTCATTCAGATCTGATGTGAGCACATGGAAGTATTTCTGTCAAACAGAGCAGGGCAAAACTTATGCTGGCCAGATGCCCACATACCTGTGTTACTGCAGCTGGAGGAAGACAGGACGGTACCTGATTTGTCAGACAGCTGCCTAGAACAAAGTTAACCTTTCAAAAAAAAATTTAGCTTGGAACTGGCGGAGTGAGTTAAGTTCAGAATTTATATTCTATGGGTATCATACATTTGATCCAGTCTGTAAAATCATCAGCCCTTTTCTTTCCATGCACACTTCTAACAATGCCTACTGTGTCCTGCCGTCCCGTGTCCTTTGAGGTCAGTCGTCTGCACAGCAGAAATATGTTCAGGGCTGAGAGGCACAGGACTGAGTTGAGATTTCTGTTCTCATACGGATAAAAAGGAAGATACAAATCTTAGTCCTTTGGGCAGAAAAATACTGTCTCTCTTCTAGAGAGTATTTTAGTATCTGAGGTGTTCATGTTAAAAGGTAAGAGCTTTGTTTATTGTGCTGTTGCCCCATTAGTAAAAGAATCCTTGCAAATATACCAGTTACTTTCTAAACCAGTGCACAGCTACCCCATGCAATCCAAACTGGCTTCAGGTACTGTGTGTGTTTTTTCCTGGAAATGAGAAGGTAGGGAAGGAGAAGAAGGAACTGATCACTCCGGGGTTCAGGAAAGGTATAAGGTTGCCTTGCTGGGAACTAGTTCATTTTACTCAAAAATTAAAAGGAGGCACAAGCAGAGGCAGTTTCCCCTCTGTCTCATTTTCCTCCTGTTTTTTTCCAAGCTTATTACTGAGGGAAGCATTTATAGAGAGAAGGGGTGGTTCTCTTTCCATGGTCGAGCGATACTTGCTGTCAAAGGTGCCAAAGGATTGTTTTAGTTTTGTGGCGTGGTTACCAGTGACTGTGGAGCTGCACAAAGACCTGCAATTTCTTTCATAACAGTTCTGTAAATAAAAATGCCCATCCAACAGAAAACTGTGCTCTGATTTATAGTTTCTGAATTTGACCAGAAAGGATTATGTTGATTTAAGTAACATTAACAGTCTAAGCAACATGAACTATCTGAGCGCAGCTGTTTGTCTGCAGGTGAGAGTTTAGCTGGTTTACACGGGTATAAATTGGGTTTGCTTACAAAAGGTCCTGTTTCGCCTGCTGTCTATGGAGTTATTCCCCAGACCAACCTTTTGAATATCCTACCAGAGGTGGGGAATTAATGGGTCATTTCCAAATCTGGATGCAGATGAGGTTTCTGTTGTTAATCATATTCTCACCACTTTGCTTTTTATTTATGAACATCTCTCGTCTGTGTGTCATTGAGAAGAGTGTGTATCGCTTTCATAGTGATGGAGAACGCACACACTGCTCAGTATTTGTGCCAGAAATAATTCTTACAATAATTAATTTAGATCTGTCAATAAAGAAAATGTTAAGATTGAAAACATTTTTAGTAGCTTACTGCGTGCATCAGATGTTAACTGTACAATATGGTGCTTACACATCCAGAACTCACAAGAGAGTTACAAATGCCTCTGTTGTGTTAACTCAGGTCTAAAGTCAGACACCTTAATCTCTAGTTTACTAGACCTTTTTCATTTGGAAATGAAGCCGTGAGTGGTAAGTTCAGCTGTACCTGATTTATGTAACTCCCGAGAGGAGTTATGCCAGGCCTGACCTTGGCATCTTTTTTGCCTGCAGGCCAAAACAGGCTTGCATTTAAGAACTCATTAAACTAAATTCTTGCCTGATGTAACTGTTTAAAGCAGCTGGGGATTTGGGCGGTTCTTTCCATACAAGATTGATAAAAGATTTTTGCTGGGTTTGATTATGAAGCTGGTGCCATGTATCACTAACTTGCAAGTGCACTGTTTTGCTATTGATAGTAATTCCCATACTGTGAACTCAGATAGCTCACTTACACTGACTGCATCCTGAAACACGGAATGGCTGAGGCCATTTGGAACAAAGAGCGGTCTTTGCTCAAAAGCGACAAGGACATCAGTCAGAAGTTAGCAGTATTCTCACCACTTTGCTTTTTATTTATGAACATCTCTCGTCTGTGTGTCATTGAGAAGAGTGTGTATCGCTTTCATAGTGATGGAGAACGCACACACTGCTCAGTATTTGTGCCAGAAATAATTCTTACAATAATTAATTTAGATCTGTCAATAAAGAAAATGTTAAGATTGAAAACATTTTTAGTAGCTTACTGTGTGTTATAGGCACACATTTGTAGAGGAATTTTCAGTTAAAAAAACTTGCATGTCATTTACTACCTATCGTTAGGTAAATATTTGAACATAACAGGTTGAATATAAATACTTTATGTATTACAGGTATTCATGTTTTATACATATATGAAATACTAAAAATCATTTATTAAGCAATTACCAGTACCAGATCTTGCCAGATAGAGTCGTTATCTCAGTCATTTGAAATACAGTAATTCTAATAACTCTGTTCTGTGAATGGGCAACATGTGTCTGAGACCCTCTATTATCTTAAAGTACAATTCTGCTTAACAAGCCACGATTTATTTTCTTTCCCACAGTCATGAATCACCAGCACCAAATAACACCCAGCACTGCCATGTCGCAGCAGAGTCGTCCTCCCCAGACTCCGCAGCCGGGGCTGTTGAACCTGCCCAGTGCCCTGACCACACAGCAGCAGCAGCAGCAGAAGTTGAGGCTCCAGAGGATCCAGATGGAGAGGGAGCGAATCAGGATGCGTCAGGAGGAGTTACTGCGACAGGTAACACCAGGGATATTCTCTTATTTTGTTCAAGAGCCTTTAGTTCAATGCATCCTCATTTTTGCCAGGTACAATTAGCAGCTCTGTTACATTATGTCAAGATTAACCGTTGTTTTAGGTAAGGGTAATCACAAAGCTAATAGAAATAAAACATTTCATTTTTTTCTCTAAACTGGCATTGAACAGAACACAAAATGGCCATCTGTCGGGAGTTACAGACCTGGCGTCTTTCTTACCAGCTATAATGGTAGCGTAAGGACCAAATTCTGTTCTGCATCAGTTTATAAATCTAGAGCAGCCATCACTGTTGAATTCTCATTTTAACTTGGTTTGCGTATTAGACTGTGTTCATGCTTCACTGAATATAAAGGCAGAACATATGGAGGTGTTCCTGTCTCTGATCCCAACTCTATAACTTGCACCCTTTGCCTTAGAATTAAAACAAAATCACATTCACGACTTACGTGAATACCTCTGATTTGAAGACTTTCCAGAGATGGTTCTTTGTGGATGTCTTTATTGTTCTATTTCTTGAGTTTCAGCTTTATATAATGACTCATATTTTAAAAAAGAGATATGTAACTTCCTTTACACTGCCTTACGGAAATAAAAAGTTTTAACAATTGTGTTTCTTCTCTTGCGGACAGCTCCGCTGGCAGTGGTGTGTTTCGCGTGGCATATTAATCAGCTTCCTATTTCTCTCAGGAGCAGTGTGAACGAAGTACATTTTATCAAGAGTAACGCCATTATTGGTGGCCTTGTAAATGCTGCAGTTACAGTTCTAAGTACTTTTAAAAATGGTGACTTTCACAAAATCACAGAATCGCAGTCTGGTTGAGGTTGGAAGGGTCTCTGGAGGTTATCTGGTCTAACACTTTAGCTTTCCTAACCTCATCCCTGCGTGCTCGGACATTGTCTCTGTATTCCTCCCAGGTTACCCATCCGTACTTCCACCCTCTGTGGAAGTAATAATTTAGTGGAATTACTATGTCATGCCTTCAGTGCTTTTGCCTTTGGGATTGTACCATAATTTGTGTTTATTTTAAGGTAGAAATACAGTATGACATTTCTCTGCAGCAGGTAGAAGCATGTTTGTTACTAGACTAATGAGAGCAATCTCCCTGCCCGGGGCAGGGGGTCGGAACCTGGTGATCTTTAAAGGTCCCTTCCAACCCAAACCCTTCTATGGTTCTAGAATTGTCTGAGGTTTTCTGATGATTTATTAGAGAACGATAAGTTGCTGTAATGTTTTGAAATGTTGGTGACCTGTGTAAAATGCAAACAGAAGCCTAAGAAAAATCCTCACGCTTAGATGCCCTCTGAGGAGGAGCAACAGAGTGTATGTCATGGTCACAGGTATGTGAGGAGTGATGCACGTTTTCTTCCAAGTCTGGAGGAGAATGACTGAGTGATGAAAACAGACTGGAGTAACTTAGTAACTTCATCTTGTGCAGACAGCAAGACAAACTGTGGGAGGAATGTGCGTACTGCCACTTAGTAGGCTTCTGTAAAAGATTGATAACAAAATGAAAATGGATATCTGACAAGTAGAATCACAAAAAAAACAGAGAATATTTGTAAAAACACTTTACAACAATGTACTTGCTTCATTTATTTTTTTTACTTTCACTTCCTTCCCCTAAGAACTTAAATGCTTAACAAAAGTTATTAACAAAAATTCATTAATACCTTTTGAAACTGTACAACACCACCTAGCTGCATGTGGAAATAAAAAAAAGCATTAAAATTATGTGCTTTTATAGCTCCTGCAGCGACACTTGGCTGTCTTTGCATGTGATTATTCCCATCATCTTGGTGAATACGGGAACATGCTCAAAGTTCAGCAGTGCTCAGTGCTCTTGCTGCACAGGGGTGAAAGGCAGATCTGATTTCACTAAAGTTTCTGAATTTTTTTACCTGCTCATGTTGGGGCTGACTTTTGACTTTCATGATTCAGACCTGAGTCTGGAAACTGCACAGACACCAGCATCTCATGCCTGTGTTCAATTTCCATTACCTTTAATTTTGGGGAGTTACACTCTGACAGGTTACCTGTGTGTGCGGAGCTGTGTGCAGGGGGGTTATCTCTGACCTACGCAGTGATCTCCAGCCTTTTGCATACCTTCTCCTTTGCTGTCAAGAGCTCAGAACATAGTAGAGATGGGTGTGGGAGGAGAGTGGGGATATCTGGTATGAGCTTAGTCATAATTGTCATTGTGCTAATAACACATTCAGCTATTTTTACTCTCTTTGGCTCTGTTCTTGCTTCAGGATAAGAGCAAATTAAGCTTCAAAACAGTTGTGCCATGAACATAAGGGCTGATTTCCCTGCTATGCTGACTCTATTTTACTTTGAAACTAATACACGCAAACCACTCTGCAGCTGTGCCGTACTTAATCAAGCCTCAGCTTACTCTGCCCAGTGCCACCCTGCGCCTATGGTGTTTGTTGGAGCTCCATGTCGGATAAAGCAGGACAGCATCACTTCGTGTTACCAAGTTCTCAGAACTGGTGTAGCTCTTAGGAAACAAAACATTTCCCACCCAAGGAAACCAAGATGCAAAATCCATCGTTCCTAACAGAATTTTGTGAACTTCCTGCCGGTAACCTGAGCGCTCCTGAACCCTGGCAGCTGCAGGAATGTGACAAATCCCTCTGGAGTCATCAGTGTTCAAGCACAGCTACTCCTACCCTGACCCTTCACTGCTGCTGTTGCTTTTCTAGTGTAACCTATCTAAGGGAAAAGCGCTGAGTAAGCATGCACGCTGTTGCTAGCAACTGCAAGGAGGTGCAAAGTCTGAGTGAGCGGGGAGGAATTCTTGCTGGGGCATGAGCCTCCTTGCAGCCCGGCAGCAGCTGCTGGCTCCCGCACCCTTCCTGGCTGCAGCTGCCCGGGTGGAGCCACACACCCGCCGGGGGGATGCGCGGTTCTGGAAGTGCTCCGCTTAGGGAATTTTTTCCTTCTTTGTCCTCCTCTTCATTTAGTTGGTAAAACCTCTGGAACTGCAGACTGAGTACATGCAAGACAGGCAGCATTTCGGACAGCTTCTTGTTAAGCGTTTCCCTACTCAGTTTTGTCATTCTGGAAAAAGTTTGGGTTTTTTTTTTCTTACTGATGGGTTTTTGTCAGCTTTCCAAAGGAAAAGGGAGAATCTGCTTGCTGCTCAGGAGCTTCTGGGAAATGGAAGTAGTTAGAGCTGATGTCGGTAAAAAATCTCTGAAAGGGTCCTTCCTACGGGGAAGGTGTCTCGGCACTCCTCTGTGTTCACGAGTGCCGACCTGCAGCTTGTTTGGATGGGTGCAAACAGCCACAAAAGCAATGTGCTCCTTCCTGATCCGCCAGTCCTGCTCCATGAATGTGTGCACAGAAAGACACGGCTCACAAGAGGCTGTAGAAGGAGCAGTGTATGGGGAGGCAGAGGAAGTTTTGTCCCTGTTTTGTCCTCTCAGAGCAGAACCTTTCTGCCCTGCTGGTGCCCTTTTGACTGCGCAGACTGGCCCGTAGTCTGATTTATTGGTGGCCTGGGCAATATCTAGATGTCTCACTTTCCATCCTAAGTATGAGAACTGGCAGAAAATAGATTTCAGTGACTAGCAATGTAAACTCACCATAAGAATGCCCTTGCTCGACCCCCCAGCTGGAAATGACTGTATGGCAACGAAGCGTGGAGCTCAGCTCAGTTCTGCCAAGGAGGGTTCCCGGACATGTGGCAATGTATTTCTAGGTTTGTCTGGCATACAGCTAAAAGGGGGTTTACATCAGGATTGTGTTCAGAGGCAGTGAATAATTCAACTCGCTGCAAGGCTTTGAAGCTTTTAAGGACTTGTGCAAATAACCACTGATGAAGCTTTTTGACATGCCTTTGTGATATCAGAGTTTTTTGGGAGTGTTTTTAGTTTGTTTTGTTTTGTTATTTATTTTGAAAATCCCCTTTGGGTTTTTAAAATAGCATGTGCTGCTGCGCCAAGCAGATCACTGTGGGCGTTTGGTGCTTTTTGAACTGAGTGCTGAGGGTTGGCTCAGCTGGCCAAGAGGCAGCACGCCTGCTCTGGAGAGCTAAGAGCTGATCACAATAGCTCAGGCTATTCGTGTAGCTTGTAACTGTCCTATTACCATTCACAGGGCTGCGAGAGGTCTCTGGTATTTTTGCCAGACTTTTTAACCTAGGGTAGGAGATTCCTGAATATTCTTCATAAGAACCTTGTAGCCATGCTCTGAATAGGGAACGGGACATAGCAAGCTATCACAGCTTCTGTGACTGTGTAATTGATTCGTTACTGTTGACCACTGCTATAATAATGTCAAAGAAGCAATAGTCTGACACCTGTAGCAGTGGTGAAGTTGTAATGTGGCTTCTAGGCAAGTCACCTGCGTCAGGCAGCAGCAGAGGAGGAGCACACGTCAGTGTACGGCTGAGCCAGTTCTCTGTCTGTTCCCCCACCTGGCTCTGACCCCGGCGGGCAGTAATCTGTTGGTCTGTGTTATAAACTACACGGTGAGCTTTAGTGTTACCAGCAACGTGCAATATGTTGGAATTAAGACATGGGAGGTGCCATGCCATTCCCCAAGTGAGCGTAGCTCAGGTAACTTTATAATAAATGTAGTGTTTCTTGCAGCAAAGAAGAGACAGGGACTTAGAGTTTGCAAATGCCAGCGTGAGTCTGTCTCTAGGGCGCTGGAGGCTTTTCAGATCACAAACAGGGTTGCTTCACGAGGCCTGTCTAAGTCACATAGTAGATTAAATGTTCCTGGAATGGATTGTTAGCCCTGCTGCGGTTGGCGGCTAGGAGGGCTCGTTACTGATCTGGGGGCATGGTTAATGAATGTCTCCCCGTTGGACCAAGCAGTTGCTGGCACCGTATTTCCCAAGGAGTTGGCTGTCCACATTCCCCGATTGCGCAGGTCAGCTGCGGGACAGGAAGCAGCCAGCCTGCAGGAAGGTCTGCAAATACCTGTGAAATTCACGGCACTTTGTGCAGGAGTAGTAAGTCCAGTGCCCTGGGAAGAATGGACATTTTGCAATGCTTTCCTGTTTTTGGAAGGCAGTGAAGTGGAAAACCTTAAAGTTTAGCAGAAGTCCTTCTCAAAGGGCTGACTGCCCATCCTCCCGACCGCAGGATGGACAGCCTGATGCGCAGCGGTCATGTTGTCTCTGAGCCCTTGCTCTTCTTTTGTTAATAGTCTCTTCCGAGCTACTTTTGGAAATTAAATTTCCATGGAAACAGGGAGTAAGTTACAGAAGTTACCAATGGTTTAGGTTTTTCCTCTCACAATATGATATTGAAAAATCCAGTGTCAGTCTGAAGGCAGTACCTGTCTGTTCAGTGGAGGGAATGGTTGCAGCAGGTGTCAGCTCACCTCCGGTTAGAAGGCCAGGAACGGTGACGTGGAGGTAGCCCGGGTTTCAGCTTGGCCTGGATAAGCTTGCCCTTGGCACTGACCTGGGCATCTAGCCCATAAGGAAACCTCTCCTGTCGTCGCTCGGCTCCTGTCAGCCACTGAGAGGTGTCCGAAGCGCAGTCACTGGGGGGGCACAGGCCCCGTGTTCTGGGAGAAGGGTCCTTAGAGCGCAGCCCTTGGGTCTGTATTACCCTCAGCTCTGCTGATACGGGTGCCGTCGTGGCTGGTGGTTGCTGCCAGGTGGAACAAGCCGGCAGCAGCAGGTGTAAGGAATTCTCTGCTCTTTCCAGTGTTGGTTATTTGGCCGGGCACTTTTTGAGTCCGTCTGTAAGAGAAATGGAAAGCTGTAGGAAATTCTTCCCTGTTCCTGTGCACTTAGCGTGAGAGGGAGAGTATTTATTGCATGGAGGGTTAATGGTGTGAAACTCCGTTTGTGAACAGCACTGTGGTTTTTGCAGTGTACTTTGATCTTATGTACAACCACATTTTTTAATTAGTGGGAGGTTCGGAAGTCTCCACCCATGCGTTGTGCTTTGCTGATCTGGAAAGCAGCACCGGAGGAATCGAGGTGTGTTTGTGCTTCTGGGTTGAGTTCCAAGGAAGAAGGCATGACATGAAGACTGAGAAAAGCCTCATGTTTCCTGTGATCATTTAGTTAAATGTGTTTTATAAAGAAGAGATTTATCTCTTGTTTATGTTTAAAACAGTTCCATGGACTTGTACAGATTTTTCAGTGTTGCTTGGAAACCTTTCCTCACTTTGTTCACACTTTTGTCTTAACTACAGTACTTCTGTGATGGCTGTGGAGAGCTGTGGAGTTAATACAAGTCTTTCAGAGTAACAGAACTCACTGGTTTCAGAAATAAGCTGGTTTTGGCAGTATGGTGAGAGCAATTATGTAAAATTAATTAGTCGGATAGAACTTTAGGCTGTCAATACGTCATTACCTGTTTTGGAAACACAAGGCACTAGATGTCATCCCTGCTAGGCTTCTGGCATTCTTAATCAAAAGAGTTTCAAAACTGTTGTTGTCAATCCACCTGCTAATTATCAGCAAATACACCCTTAAATAATGGACTTTCGTCTTTACAGGTGCATGACTTTTCCTTCATAGATTTTCTTTGGCACATCTCTCTGGTAGGACAGTTGGTCGTTAGACTTTGTCATCTCTGGTCAATTGTTAGTATCAACTTTTCAGCTTTAATATTTTTCTGGGCAGCATATTTTCAGGTTAGTTTTCTTTTTCATGAGCAGGGAATTTGGCAAGCCTTCCCCTACCCCCCAACACACGCATGCACAGTCCCCCACAAGCTGAGACACTGATTTGTGCTATATGATCCATTGAGAAGTTGCTGGATACAGGAAAGATTTTCCACCACCTCCTACAGGCAATAAATTTTCAGGCTTATTTCTGATACAGTGCTGCTGTATTGAGCAATACAATTGAATTTCAATCTGATAATTGAAAAAAAATGGCATGACAGCTGTCAAGAAATTGTTAAGAACATTGCCCAAAACAGAAAAGCAGAATCTTGTACATAGGATGTATGTATGCACGTGGTTGTTCTTTGATAGAGACACAGGATAGCTGAGGTTGTAAGGGACCTTTGGAGATGGTCTGGTCCAACTGCCCTGCTCAGAGCAAGGGCCACTGCAGCAGGTTGCTCAGGGCTGCATCCAGTCAGGTTTTGAATATCTCTGAGGATGGAGACTCCACAACCTCTCTGGAAAAGCTGTCCCAACATTCGATCGCCCTTACAATCACAAAGGGTGGTATTGGGGCAGTATTTTCAGTGCGGTAATACATGTGCAAAGTAGCAAAGAGAAATAATTTCCATCAAATTAAGACTTAGTCACAATATTCTGAAAGAGGTGAATACTTGGGTCTTGAACAGAATATTCTGAGTTATTTTATTTTTAGTAATAGCATTTGATTTTTAGAAATGACAGCAACCAGAATGATAACCAACATGTATTTTCCATGTTGGTAAACTAGGGGAAAGGGTTTTTTTGCCTTCTTTTTTTCCTGTTCTGATCTTATAATTATTAGTGTGAAACAACGTCTAGTGAGATTCAAAAATGCACTGCTCAAGTGTCACAAACATGAACTTCATTGCTGGATTGGACTTTAGCAAAAAAAAGAAAAATCCTAGCTAAGTGTATCCTGCCTCAATTTGGCTGTCTTCTTTTTCTCTTCTCTTCCTGTATTTCTTTCTTTATGGCTGTCTTTTCTCTTTTTCGTTCTTGCTCTCTTTCTAGTATTGACCTTACTGTGTTGCTGCAGTTGCTGCTCTTCTTATATTTAAAGAAATACTTTCAGTATCTTCATGTAGACCATTAAAGAAACCAGTCTGCCCATTTTCAGAGGTTTGTACGTTTTCACTGAGTTCAAATGGTTTAATTGTAAATAGAAACATCACCGTTAGAATTGTCACTTGACAAATGTAATGACATGCACAGGCTATCATGCATAACCTATTAAGAACCTTCAGGCTATTTATTCTAAACACTTAGTAAATAATTGCACCATCTAATGTAAATTATTATTTATCAGTGAATATATTGGTAATGTGATTATAAAGGCAACATTGCATTAATGAGCACCAATATGTTAATTCCCAATGAATAATTTTTACAGTATTCAATGAAGAGACCAGACCAGTTCTCCTCATCAGTTGAAAACATAGTAAAACATCATATTCTAGCCTCAAAAAACATGTTAATCTTTTCTGTACTTGGGAGAATGAATGACTGATTCAGTGGAGAAAAGTTTTCTATTAGGATTTAGATAAAATATTTTATTTTCTTATTCCATAAAAAAAATAAACTTGAGTAAATTAGGTAAAAAACAGATACAGATTTATTACGTTAAGGTCTTAGGATATTTGTTGGGAACATCCCTGTGGAGCCAGATAACCTTTGTGTAGATCTCTGCACCGCTAGATATCACGGTTGTCGCACATGATAATGCTGGAAGGATTCATTTTTCAGAAAGAGTTGTGAAGCTGACTGGAAGGTCCTGAAGCATGTCTGCGGCCAGCTGGGTGGTGGGGCTGGCTCCTGGCCGTGGTGGTCACCGAGGGGTGGGTTCTGCGGCGCTTAAGCCAGCAGAAGTGGGCATGAAAGTTGCTCTGTCTGCATTCTGATTTTCTTCACACCAGTGTCTCCAGTGACCAGTTACATAGTTTACAACTACTTTCCTAAATAAGAAGATGTGTATATAGTGCATGTTCGCTTGTAACAGGACTGTGGTACTTCTGAGCTGTTGGAATAACCCTTCCCGTGTGTGTATTTGCCTTTTCAGGAAGCTGCTCTGTGCAGACAACTTCCCATGGACTCAGAAAGCATGGCCCCCGTTCAGACAGCTGTGAATGCACCTGCCATGGCCCAAGACATGAGACCTATTACAAATAACGGATCCGACCCTTTCTTGAGCAGGCGAGTTCATGTCCCCTTCATTAGGCAATTGGTTCTGTTGCCTTCTCTACATGTTTAAAGCTCTTTCTAAAGCGGTTCCCTATATCATCTTCTTTTGTACGTACTGAGAACGGAGTGTAGCCGAGTGGCTGACCTGAAATCTTTCTGTTTATACTTCAAGAAGGCATCTTAGAAAAATCAAGCAAATGGTAACAGATGGTTTTAATTGCTCTGTAGGTGTATGTAGCAGACTCTATGCGGAATAGATACATCATCTGGGTATAAATAAATGCAGGTTTTTTGTGCTCTCAGAACTGGTTTTGTCTAGAGAGTTACATGCATATGTGTGTATTTCCAAAGTTCGGAGTGGCCTCACTTCAGTTGCTTTATATTTGGGTTAATGTGACATGACCACATTAGTGGCGAACAGTTGAGAATGAGGCTCAGTGACTCAGTATTTAATATCTAACCTACTGTGCTGTCTGTTTTCAAACACCCTGGTCAGGAACTCTGTCTAACAGAACATCTTTACTGAGGCTTTTTCATGTTTCAATTTATAGTGGGCCATACCATTCCAGGGAGCAGAGTACAGACAGTGGCTTGGGATTAGGGTGCTACAGTATACCAACGACACCTGAAGATTTCCTCAGCAACGTGGATGAGATGGATACAGGTAGAATACTCTGATTTAGCTTAAATTATAAAGATACTAATAACTTTGTGTTACAACCAGTAATGTTTTATAATTGCATAACTCAACAATAATCTTGCTTTCCTATGCAAGAGAACAGACTGAGACTGTGGGGCAAAATGCCTAAAAGGTTCTTAGTGCCTAAAGGATTCTCAGCTTTAAGTTAGGTTCAGATTCTACCCTTTTACCTTAGACTGATATAAACAAAGTAAGTAAAACTTGGAAAATGTCTGCCTTAAGTTGTGTTTTCATGCCATAGTCCCAAGGTAGGAGGAGGAAAAATCTCATCTTGGCTTACATTCTTGGTGCAAATCACTGCATTTTCTACCTCTGGGAAATCAGTCTCATTAATAAGTCTCTTCCAATGGCAAAGTTGTATTTGCCTTCAGACAGAATGTGTTTAGCTGGTTTGGGTTTTAGTATGTATTTATTTCTATATCGGTGTTCTTGTGGTGTTTAAAATACTGAAATAAATTACTAGGAAATCAACAGGGTTTTTCCAGACAGTGAAATTCTCAGCACTTTCTCACCTCAACTTCCTTTTGAAGTCATGAGAAGTTCTAGATGATGCAAAGAGTGAAAGGTTTCTCTATTAAAGATTTTCGTGCTTGTTATTATTAATTAGTGAAAAAAGTAATATAATATTGCAGAGCTAAATTGCTGTAAAACACTTTTTTCCATTACGCCCCATGGGCTGCATTCACCCCTGTGCAGAGAGCAGGCGAGGGGGTTTGCATAAGCCTCAGTTGCATTGCTCCCTGTGCAGAGTAGTGAACTTTGAACAATCATGCTTCCCAAGTGGAAGATCAGAGGCTGATTGCTTTGGACACTGCTGGAAAGGGCCTTCTGTGCTTCTGAGAGCAAAGCAAGGATATTAAATTAACTCTTGCAAGAATATGCATTCTGCAAGCAAATCCAGTTTTGAGGTAGTGTTTGCTCACAAGTGCATATGGGAAAGGGGGAGTCTAATTTTTGTATCAATTGTGTTGTTTTAAGCTACCCACAAGAAGAGTTTGGTTATTTCAAAAGTTGTTCTTTATTTTTCCTAGGAGAAACTATAGCACAGACAACAATGAACATCAATCCACAACAAACACGTTTCCCTGATTTCCTCGACTGTCTTCCAGGAACAAATGTTGATCTTGGGACTCTAGAGTCAGAAGACTTGATCCCTATTCTCAATGATGTGGAGTCAGTACTCAACAAAAACGAGCCCTTCCTTACCTGGCTGTAATCGCTGAATGCTGATTCAGCCTACAGTGCGATTCAGCATTTCTTTTTCCTCTTGAGATAGAGGTAGAATATATGAAAATCCTCAAAAGATATGACTTACTGCCTTAATGACTTTTGTTACATCATCTTTATGGTGAGGTTAATCTCTGCCTGGATTTGATTGACACTAACTTAAGTATAAAATACATATATATATATATATAAAAATATACATATATGCATATATATCCCTTCTTCTTTAAAAAAAGCACACTACTTTACACATCAGTACACTTCTTTACCTTTTCAGACCAGGCAGAAATGTTTCACTTTAAGGACAGAAAGTGGGTGGTGGTTGTGCATATCCCTGGCTGATGCCTGGGCATTGATTGACATCACAAACCCTTCATGAATTACAAAAGCTAACTACTGCGTCACTTGGTTCAAAAAACCTGCACAGCATCAGACCATGAGAGCAGTTTTATTGCTATGTTTATAACAACAGTATCAGAAGCTTTTTTTATCAATTTACTTAAGCTTTAAAAATCTTTATTTCATTCTTAGTAGCACTGTGCTGTATGGAATATAGATTAAATCTCATCCATATCAGCCATAGTAATTCTCATGATATATTTGTAAAGGCACAAACAGTACTATTGCAGTTTCTTCTTCCAGTATATTACTGTATAGTTTTTGGAAAATAAATACTTCCAATCTGAAAGTGCCAGAACTGTTGAGCAACATTTTTTACACTACAATATTGTTGCGAAATAAACCAGACTGGTGCTGACTGCTGCCTTTTAAAAATAAACCAGTGTATTATAAATAAGCATTTTTTAAAAGATCTTAGATTTTGAAGTTTATTATATTAAGCACTACAATTTTGTAACTTAACACATGAACAAACAATTTTTTTATATACATAAAATCTGTGGCAAGTAAATGCAAAAACATGCTTTTAAAGTCAAGTCTGAAAAACGTGGCACAACTTTTTAATGTCATATGTAGTGGGGAAAAAACCCTTGCTCATACTGTTTTCAGTAATGTTTGTAACTGACAATGTCAAAATACATGTAGTTGTATACATGAAAAAAGATGGTGACTTTATCAGGGCAATGCTAACACAGTGTTGTAAACTGACCGGTAAAGTTCCTTAGTTCTTAAGTCTTCCACTTACTGTAAAGGGTGTCCAGGACACCGGGCGTGTTCTGTGTGTTCCTACCTAGTGTATATCCTACAAACACTTCTTTGTCAGAGGTTTGGGACTGAGAAGGCATCAAGGACATTAAGCTTGCAGTTCCCCTGAAATGCAAATGAAGTCCTAGAATTCTTAAATATTTCGAAATTATACTATTTATAATTATGAATTTAAGCTTTTTATATTGAAAAAACACATCTTTTTTATGAGGCATTAAAACTTTTCTCTAAGCTTAACCCAGGCTATGGAGAGAGAGGAAGGAATGTAGCACTTGGTGTAAATGTGTGTTTGCCAGGTCTAGTAACACTTCACAAGATCTTACTGATGCACCAGAATATTGATCACTAAAGATTTTTTTTCCATCTGGTTGGGTGAAGGTAGGTGAAAAGGTCAGTGATTAAGTGATGGGAATATGGAGTAGGTTTGGAAGATGTGACAAATGTAGATGCTTGCCGGGAAGGGAGGCTGCAGATAGGGATACACAGAAAGCGAATCACCAGTGTTCAGTAAAAAACGCGGTAAAGAGCTTGGTACAATAAACTACCTTGTCAGCGATGAACTGCTGAGTGTACATGGTGTCAGAAGATGGAAAATAAAAAGCACACATACCAAAATTTTGAAGAGAGATGGAAGGCAAAGACCTACAGTCATGAAGTTGTATTACATAGGGAAAGGTAGCTCTTTTTGTGTTTGTTTGTTTGCTTTTTTAATAGAAAATGAGATGTGACAGCAGAGTTGTGTCTGCACAGAATTGAATAACTGAATGGGCATTGTGTTTCTTTTTTTTTTTTTTTTTTTTTTGGAGGGGCTATTGGGGGGAGGGGGTAATTATTTTTGCTAGTTCTAACTGTTGAGATAGCAGAAATTTATTTTCAACAAACAGGGGACCGGGCAGGGCTGACCAATATTACTGTAATTATGATTAATCTCTCTGTTTTAAGGATTTCTTCAGGTTGTCAGCCTAAACGAAAAACAGATGGTCTTAAGGCTTTGTTCTTTAGTGACATGACTGACTCTGGTGAAAGAATTGGAGATTTTTTGGCATCTGGTTGTGATGCCGGCTTGCAAGGCCAGCTCGCCAGCATTGCAGCGTTGCGGGGTTGGCCTGGCAAGCTGAAAGCCTTTGGTGCTACAGCGATTCACAGTAGCTGCAGGTCTGAGCTCTGCTGTGGTTCCGTTGGTGTTGCTCATCATTACATTATGTTTAGAAAATGCACTTGGTTCATTTGCTAGTAAGTCTGTACTGTTGTAAATTTAGGTTTTCTCGTAATAAAAGATATTCCAAGCAGATCAGGTCCTCAGCTGGCATGAACTGGCTGCCCTGTGTTGAGTTCTGGTTGGGTACACTGCTTTTCAGCAGCCCAGGGCCACGCTTCGTTCAGTGAGAGCGGGTGCGGGTTTCTGGTAGAGTCACATCAGGTGTTTGTCAGAATCGTGAAGCTGCAAATTCGATTCCTCTGTCATCGGTGTTTCATGTGGCTAAGTGTTGTGGTTCAAAGATGCTAAAGAGGTAAAGAAGTTAGAAACGATGTTTCCATGTTACTTCCAAAATAAACCAGCAGCAGATTTGGAAGGGGAGGGTGCGATGTGGAACATTACTCCCATCTAAAACAGCTGCCAACATCCAGGGTCAGATCTTTACTCAGTCACCAACCAAATCATGGTTAAGGTAAAAACGATTTGTTACACTGTACACTTTTTATTTCTGTAATGGAGAGGATGTGTCAAATGAAATGCAGCTACAATAAAATTATTTTTTAAAGTTTTCTTTTTTTACAAGTTTTTGGCTTTAAGCAGGCTTATGGCAGAACTTTTAAGTATTCAAAGCATATGTAATTCTTATAAAACAATTTATTGCTGACAATATTTCACTGTGCTGTTTCAGGTTTTGAATATTTACTTTACTAAATGGACACTGTCTGCTTGTAGTATCAATACAGTAAATATGCCAGCTGGACAGCTTTGCTGTTGACCATCACTGAGGGTGGCGTACCTCAGTCTTGGTGTTACAGGAGTAATGGGACGCTGTTAATTACAGTTTGTGTTTTGGTAATGCTGTTAGAATGTAACTTAGGGGGGGACTGGGGTTGACTTTTTGAGAACAAATGCAATTTGGGGAAAGGAAGGATTAAAATGTCTAATTTAAATACAGAAAAATATGGGTGTTCAAATAAACTTGTTTCCTAATGTACTACATCCATGTACATGCTAGTACTTTAACTTTTTTATTTACTTTTTTTCATTTTGTTATATGACATGTGTGAGCATTTGTTCTTAATTTTGAGTACCTTGCAACAGATTGTATGTACCGGTAGCAATCAAATCAAACTGGTGTATCCAGGATTTGGTTCTGGTTTTTTTATTTCTTTGATCTTGTACATGAAAAACAAATATAAATGAGCTTAAAACTTTTGGATGCATGTTGGTTTATTAAATTGTTTCTTTTTTTTCTTTGGAGGTTTTTAGTATTTGCTTCCCAGGGAGCTGTGTAACACTGCTTGGAGTAAAGGCACAGAGCTCCTGTTCTGTGTAAAAGGCGTACGTTTACATTGTGAGTTACGTGATTAGCACCTGGCAGATGGAGTGGGTTACTCTACCATTATGTTTCAGTTTATTGGTGGTTGTTGTGGCTGTTAGTGATGGTTACAGTTCACTCACAATGCTTACAGCCTGTTCCCCAATGCCACCATTGCTTGTTTCTTTTTGTGGCACCTCCTCATTCATCTTTCACTGACACATGTGTTTTGTTATGGTTTGTGTAACTTGTTATCTGTAAGCAGAAGAGTTGGAACCAAGTCCATTTGCTGTTAAGTTCAGTTTTGGGGATTTAAATAGTGTATTGTTTTCAGTCTGATTCCTTATTCAAGAAGTTTATTAACTTCTGTGTTAAGAAAATACTGCGACACCTGAGCACCCTGGGCGTGTGTTGGAATGTCTGGTCTCTGCTGTCCCGGTGCGTGACACGGGCGATTTAACTGTTAATCCATTTTGAGTGTGGTGCTTCAGTTACAGTCTTATTCTGCCTGGTCCTCAAAGCTCGCTCCTCCCGGTACCACCAGCAGTGCCCTGTCCCCACCGGGCATCTTCTGATTCTTCAAGAGGAGCAGCCCCCCAGGTAGGTGTGGGCGGGCGGGGGAGGCTGTGCGCTCAGGGTGCCGCCGCTGTGTGCTTGGCTGAGCAAATGTCTTTCCCTTTGTGTACGTTGCTGCCCAACCTTAGGCTCAAGCCTTTGGCACAGAGCTGCGGGTCACATGCTGCACGGTGGGTGACGTGCTGCCTCGCTGCAGCCCCCGTGTGTGAGACCATCAGTGCCTTGGGCTCCAGCCGCCTGTGGTGTGGCCGCGCAGAGGCTCCGGCTTTGTTGGAGTGCGTGGACCGAGTCCCAGGCGCGCGCTCCGTGTTGTGATCAGAGTTGCTGCGTGACCCACGTGCTGCGTTCTGTGTGAGCTCCCGGCTGCAGCGGTGCCACACGACGTCAGGCTCGCCGTGCTCTCAGCACCCGGGGGCTGAGCAGCCGGGTTTTGGGGGGAATAACGAAGCTTCAGGTAACATGCATCTCTGAGATTTTACAAACAGTATTTTTCCCTTAGCCTGCCAAGATTTCTACACCTGTCTAACAGCTGACGTTTGTACACGCTGAAACGGAGTGTGGTGTTCACGTTCGTGGGGACTGCTGGGGTCTGGTTCAACACTTCCAATTCTCCCTGTTCGTGGTTCCTCTCTTGATGTTGTCTCTCTGTCCCTGCCTGGCACTGTCGGCTCGTCACCGGCGAGTCGTCTCCCAGCAGCTCCCCTGGCCCTTTGTGTCTTTCTCAGTTCCAGCAATCTGCGGTCAGTCCCTCTCCTTGGCTGCACTGGGCACTTTGCTCAGGGGAGCGCAGAGAGCACTCTCCAGTTACTGCAGAACTGGCACTGGAGATAAGTGTGATTGCCGTGGAATTGAACATCTGAGGCTCTCCCCTATCGTTCACCATCAATGAGCGGTTTAGGAACACGGTGTTGGTGCTTTGAAATGCTGGATCCATGGAGCTGCTGGTTCTGGTTCATTTGCGCTTGTCCATCCACCCCGAGGCCGAGGCGCGCATGCAGCCCAGACCATAGGATGAAGGGTGTGCGCCTTGTCGCCGTGTCTGCTGTATGTTAGCTCGTGTTAGAAAACCACCGTGTAGCTGGGTATCTTAGAAGCACTGACTCATGGAACACCCACTGGTTTTGGTTTTAGGTATCTTAGCTTCCTGGCTGTTATTTCTTATCCCAAGTGTCCCACAAAGATTTGTGTCTTCTGTTTATTAATGTTTGAAAATTGTGCACTATGCAGCTACCCGTCCCTTTGCTGAATACTGATGAGAAACATTCCATGTTCCCAAAGGCTTCTTATAAATAAAGCAAGACAAATGCGAGATGAGGTGCAGGACAGCTGCTAACCGCAGATGAAAGAGTAGCTGTAAGATGGTTGCATCAGTGGGTGGTGATAAAAAGGGTATTCTCAGATTCCCTAGCAATGCAGTAGAACAGGTGGGAGAGACAGCTGTTTCTAAAGAGGGGGGGGTTTTTTAATATTTCCTTTTATAATCTTGCACAGTGTACCACTGAGGCTGCTTTGCTTTTATTATTGTAACTCTTAGTACCTAAATCTAGCTATTTAACATTTTTGCATATTACTTACTGGCTTTTAGTGCTTCTGAGTACTTTAAGTTCTTCACATATCTTTAGTGTAGATACCGAGTATGTGAAATACATTTGCTGAAAGCACAGGCCACAGATCATTATTCTGTGGGAATCATGTACCAGGGGTGCATGATGATGTGTTAAGAATGTCTTTATAACTTTCAGAACACTTAGCAGTGTTACAAAATGCTGAAGGTGTTGGATCCCTGAACTTTGAGATTTTTAAGAACAGTTTAAAAACATCTTGCAAATTATTCAAGTGTTGTTTGCACTGCCTCTGTGTACAAAGGTGGGCTCCAGCGGTGCCTCCCAGACCTGATACCTGTGACTGCACCGGCGCATCGCCTTTGTTAGACAAGAGATCACAGTTGGTTAGGTGCTGCTGTGAACAGGAGGTAAAAGCCCTTTTGCTTCACACGTAGAAACAGTTTTGGTCACTTACTGCTGATATTTCTGCACCAAGTTATGCAGGCTGTGCAGTTTCTGTAAAAGATTGAAGACAAGGATTACAGCATAGGACGTGTTTCTGCATGTGAATAGATACCTATGTTGGAGTTTTAATTGAGTTTTCTCATTGTGTAGCTGGATTTAAATAGGATATGTCCTTCTCCTTCCCATGAGTACCGATTTTATATTGTATGAGGGATGTGGAAATTTATTTGCTTTTCTAAAATGACGTTTCATTCGCTGTCTGTGTGGAGCCAGTGTCTGGTGGTGATGTTCTGCGTGAGACCAGCTTGCTCTCTAACAAGACCAGAGCTGGGACCCTGCTGGGATTCACGGCAGTGACTGGTCAGGTTGTGGCTCATCCCCGTCTTTGTGGCTCATGAACTTTGCAGTTGGAATGAAGGACGAGGCAGCGTGTCTGTACCGGGAACACTGTGGGTCTCCCTCCCATCTCAGCGTGTAGGCAGGAAGCGTGAAAAAACTTCATATAAAGGCGAAACAGCTTCTGTGCGAGGAATAGCTAAATATACTAATGCTTTTCAGGCTAAAGAGACAGCTGCGAGGAGATGTGAGAGCCCATGGCATCAGTTATCCTGGGGCAGAGGGGCAGGGCTGGCTGTGTCCTCTCTCGCAGGCGAGAACTGGGGGGCATCCCATGGAAGGAGCAGGCGGCAGGGTCAGGACAAAGGAGTTTCGTCCCTCAGCATGGAGTTAGACTATGGAAGGGATGTTGTGATCCAAGGAACAAATGGACAGCTTCACAGAGAAGGAATCCCTCAGGGAGAGTTAAATGCGGAGATGAGCCCTTGTCTCAGGAGGTCCCTGGAGTACAAAAACTGCAGGCTGGAGGCTCCACGCCTCCCCTATTCTCACACTTGCTGTGTTCATGTCACCTCCCACAGCCGGACTGTGCCGTCACATCCCCTCTGCTGGGAGCGAACGAGGAAAGCTGATGAGGGATTGGTGAAGCAGCGGGATCCCCATCCTGCTGAGATGGCTGTGAACTGGCCTTTCTCAGCGGGTTCCCGGTGTCGCACAGGGTCTCGTGGTGTCCGAGGTGACTGGTAACCGGGGGGTCCGCAGCACTGTTCTGGCTGTCACCTTGGCCCTACACTGACCTGCGCAGCAGCACTGCTGAATGTGCTGCCTGTCCAACACGGACAAGGAGAGACCTCACCATGAGATCTGTGGATCTGCTCTGTCACAGAGACTCTACAGAAAGCACTTGAGTCATAGCAGGTCTGGAAGAGAGAATTCCTCACTTATCCAGGTAACGTAAACATGTACTCAAAAAGTTAGAGTTGTGATATTTCCATCTGATAAACCTCAGAAGAAAACAGACACAGCTGCATTACAGCTGAGCTTGTACCAGCAGCCTCTGATGCTCCCCAGCTGGAAAGCCGAGTTGGGAGAGAAGGTATTTTGCCTGAGAATACCCTCTTTTTGAATGGAAACTGTTTTACAAAAATAAATATGCATGCGAGAGTTGGATTTCACTTATTTTATTCCATGATGAGGAGTTTCAGGAAGGATAGAAAGGGAGTCAGGGCTTCATGACGTTAGTGGGGCGGAGTGCCCTTCATTCTCATCTTCTCAGCCAGGGATGACGCATCTGAGGGCAGCTCAGTGGGACGGCTGCAGAAGGGAGCACCCCGAGATAAGGAGGATTGTCTGTGGTGTTCATATTCTTTAGACAGTTCCATCTCCCTGGAAGAATAAAAACATGGAGGTAATTTAGTGGCTACTATTCCTGTGGCTTCCAAAGGTTTTTATTATTTCCCAGTGGCTACAGGAAGCTGTCAGATGAACACCATAAATATGGACTGAGATCATATTTGCAGCACCTGACAACACTGTAGGGTTTCAGCTGTACTTTAGAAAACGCAATCATGGTGCTGAATGAAGTCTGGTTTAGTTTTTCAGACTGCTAGCCAGGTGTGTATATGACTATCATCAGAACAAAAAATAATGACCGCAAGCCATCGGTTGCTCACCCCGCAACACCCGCAGCATTTGCAGTCCCCACAGATGGTCCCGATCAGGCCGTTCACCACCTGGATGGCGCAGAGCAGCACCTGGACCCCGCTCATGATGAGCAGCAGCGAGAAGAGGGTCAGGTTCCATGTGACGACGTTCTCGGGTGACTTACACACGCTCCACGATGTGTGGTTGGTGAGGTAATTCCTGGGGGGGACAAAACAGTTGTGAAGCAGATGACATGAGTGGGCAGGGAGGGTCTGATGGGGCCGACGAGCTGCCACTGCCGGGATGAGCTGTGAGCCCCAAAAAAGCAAAATTGGAAAAGCAAAATTGGATTGGAAAAGGCAAGAGATCAGAGACGAGCGTGTGCTAGATAAAACTGAACAGTTCTGCTGTTTGGGGCGCGAGATCTCAGCTGAGCACGTGCCCGAGGGGTGCTGGTCCCTGCCGAGGCGTTTGGCCGAGGCTGTCCCAGTGGGTCTGTCGGGATGATGCAGTGCACATCACAGCCCCAGGTGCGGACCCTGGGGGTCTCCCTCAAGGCGGCACCTTTGGGAACCCCGGGGGGCGTGTGGGGGTTTGTGGGTGTCTGCACCTAAATATTTGCCTTAATTTACTGTGTTACATTGTAACAAAAACAAAACAAGTGAGTTATCAAAACAATATGATAAAAGATGAATAAACTCAGTTTTCCTAACAAAGCACCAAATGCTACAGGGAGTTGAATCATACCACAAACGTAAACCATGTTTAACTCTTTTTTTTCTGGTTGTCCTGTCTTACCCATCCTGGAAAGGGTAGGTCCACTCTGTTCCAGTGTAGCACTTGGGGCCTTTGTGTAGGGCTACTGCTGACACAGCAAAGCAGTATCCAGCTCCCAGAACTCCAACCGCAGCAAATATTATAGAGGAAAACATCTGATGAAGAGAAAAATAATGTTATTTTTGCTCTCAAACAATTAAATGTACCCTATTAATGTGAATGTACATTCCCTAAATTCAGCTCTTAGCAGTCAAAATAGTCAACTGAGCAGCTAAAATATATTAGTTTGCAATTGCATAATAAATCTATAATGCATACCTGCGCTGGTATTTAGAAGCTTTAAAGGAATTGGCACCGTTTACCCCAAGGGGTGGATGGTGGCACAGTAGATGGCACTGCTCCCCTCCAGACAGTGTCGGTCCCAGGGACCTCGTTGCTGTTCAAGGTCCCGTGTTTCACTGAAGTGGATTGTCTTTCTCAAGAGATTATAAGTAAGTCTGGGACCACTCAAGGCATTAAAAAAAAGTCTATGGTACCCTTTGCAAGTTAGCTTTGGTATCGTGGTCATATTTGGACCAAGTAATTATATTTTTCCTTCCTGAGTCTCCACTTCATGTTTCAGATTAGTCTACTTTATCTCCTCGCTGGAACTTGTCATCGTAGCAGTGCAGTTGGAACGGCTTGGAAAGGATGGCTTTGTTTTCCTGGCTTGCCTTTACAGCAGTTTCATATATACTAATATGTAAGTAAATAATGCAAAAACTAATGCCCTGCTGCAATTCTGAAACACTTACAGCCGTAGTAGTTTGTAGATAAAGAAATGTGCTTTCAGGTCTGTGAGCTTTTATTCAGAGCTCATCACAAGACTCTTGCCTTGAGTGCCAACGTTCATTTTTATGTTGATATATCCGATGGGGCTGACTTAAATGTGGTGTGTATGTAGCAGACACCCTAATAATGGTGTTTGTGCTAACATACGAGAACAAATTCAGCTCTCAGTCATGCTGCAGTGAGGCCACCAGGACTCGGTTTAGTACGGTGTAATTAGCACTTGTGACTGTACTAATATCCGGGTCTCTCAGTCAGCTGTGCTCGTTATAACACGAGTCGTCAGCAGGGTGCTGCGCTGCGGATCCTGGGTGGCTTCCCCGGGCAGCACCATGCCTGCAGGCTGTCCCCCGCAGCAGCAGCTGCAGCGGGTGGGCGCAGCGGGACCCCGGGGTGACCTGCGCCCCGTCCCACGGCGTCGCAGGGGCACACGGAGCCCGGCAGCAGAATGCTGGGGGTCTGGGACCCTCCGGCTTGTGTGTGCTCTGTAAAGCTAAACTGAGATATGTTCACTGCTGACAGAAATTGATAATACAGGGTGGTGGTGAGAAATATGTGGCTCCGTTCCGCTGCCCCCACCCCTCGAAGTTCCACCTGCTTTGTTGGGATTGCACAGAGACAGCATCAAAGACGGGGTTTAGGGAATGCTCCTGGTTAACCTCACAGCCACGATTCTTTTCCTATTGGTTTTTTCTTTTTTTTTTTTTTCAATTGGAAACCTGTTCCTTGATAAAAAAGGGTAATGATGTACTTGAGCCAATCAATTTATTTCAAAGGACAGACTTTCCTAGTAGAAATATATTTATTTTTTCCCTAATCTAATTTTTAAACTAAAACACTTGAAAAGCTTACTAGTATCTGAAGGTATCCATTTGAAACTTTTCAGTTCTAATGACAAAGGAAGCTATAAATTCAGAGTGGAGCCTGGTCTGTCCAGCTTTAAGCAGGAGGTTGGATTAGGTGACCTCCTGAGGTCTCTTCCAGGCTGAAATTTCCTACGAACCTGGTGGGAGACTCACAGCATGTTGGGTGGGACTGCAGTGAGTTGGGAATGTGGTGCCTGACTGTCAGAATAATGTTAAACACTGCCAGCAAAAAATGGCTCCAGAGAGAGAAGGGTTACGCTCTGCAAAACAAAGTGCAGATCTTTCAGAAATTACTTGTAATTGTGATAGCAACTGTAAGGATCTTGTGATAGCGGAGCACATCGAGGCAGTGCAGTTCTGCTGCCTGTAGCACAGCGCCAAAGCCGCAGCCCCCTTTAGCAGCCGGCTTGTTCTGCTCCCCAGCGCTCGGACAGTGGCTGCGAGCAGAAGGTACATGTATCAATCAGTTACAATTTAGCTTTTATTTTTTCCCACGTTTCCTCTCACTTACCGCAAACCTCTTTCCACAGCTCGCATTGCCACAGCATCCACAGCAATCATTGTTCTTAAGGCCCAAAAATACCAAGGCAGGAAAGATCATCTACCAATAACAGAATTACAGTTTGAATTGGGATGGATTCAAGTTACATTTGCTTTTAAATATAATAGTTCTATGTCTTTTTTTTTTTCTTATCACTAAGTTAAGTTGCTTATTGCAAAACTGTTGGATGGCTTGTAACTTATTTGTTTATCAAAGAATGATTGGCAGGTTGGAACCTGCATTTGAGGTTCTGAGGAAATTCAGCAATGCAAAGTCATGGTGCGGGTAGGGGAGAAGGTCTGAATTTATATACTCACCAGTACACCAGATCCCAAGATCCCTCCGAAGTACCAAACCTCATCTGTAATATGTTGATTGTTGTCAACCACTTGTCCTCCAGGGAAAAACAGCAAAATGTTGACGAGGGTACACAGCACAGCCAGGGGGATGAGGGTGATTCCCAGGCACTTGGCACAACCTCCCGTGCACATGATTTTTTAAAGAAATGGCAAACAAAGGCAGAGGAAAAATCTCTTGGACGTTCTCAGAACTGTTTTATAAAAAGGAGCTTCTCTGTGTACTTGACAAAATCCAGTTTCTGCTGTGCCTTTGGAGGAGCTGAGCCTGTAGAATGCTCCCTTCAGAGACGTTGCTGCAGTCGATCAGAAGTGCAGCGCGCTGGTTATTTATACGTTCTCGCAGCCATGATGTCAATTTTCTGAACGTCCATAAATGAAATTACGTTCAGTGCTGCCTCTCATTTTACTGTGACAACCCATAACCTCTGTTAATGTTTTACAAATGTGGATGAGCCATTTCATTATCTGGGCTCAGGTCATGGGTAGATATCCTTCTCAGCTCTGGATCATCGTTTTTACAACACGCAGTCCTTATTCACACTGCAAAGTGCTTCTTTGTAAAGACTGATACAAACACCCATCAGGATCAGCTGATGTTAATACCAGCTGTGTGCAATGGAAAAGTTATTGTGAATTGTCTTTTCTTTGGGAAAGTTGAGCTAGTCATTCATTGTTTTGAAGCACTCAGGTAAGGTAGAGATGTGCAGTGGGCAGTGAGTTGCTGTGGAGGCCGTGCTCTGCAGCTGGTATCTCTGAATACAGGCAAGTGATCCAAAAAAGTTTCAGTGGACTTGCTCCTTACATAGCGTTATTTTGTGTTCTCTAAGGATAACGTGTTCCCTCAAAGCCCAGCGTTTCGTCTGTGCTCAGGCAGAATTTCCCATTGAAGTTGCACTGATGTGTCAGGCAGGCTGCTGAGCTGGGGCAGAGCCTCACTCCCTTGGCACCAAACGTTTTCTTCAAGCAAGCATGTCTTTTAAAACACGCTCTGCAGCTCTTGTACAGATACTGCATACCTTCTCTTTCATATTTAGACTTGGTACATTGTCCTGTAGAACTCGTGTGGGGATGATTTTCGCACCAACCTTCGTTCCTAGCAAATCGTGAGAGATGCAATTGCATTGCCGTTCCCGTGCGGACGTGGGAATTCCAAGTATTTTGAGACAGACAACAGTTACCAGTAAGAAAATCATGGGGAAGCTAGTAAGCTATCACTTAGAAAGTTTATACTGGGCATGACCTCTCCAAGGTCAGTAATAGGCACCGGCATCATGGAGCGTCCCTGATGGTGTTCTGGTTGATAACGGTGAAAACCATTGTGAGGAGGTGAAAGTACCGGTATTGCGTAACAGCAACGTGTGCCTGACTGCTGAGGAGAGCGTTTTGACAGGCTCACCCTCATAAACTTAACATTTCATTCCAAGGCCAGCTGTTGTGCAGGGGAAGAGGAGAGCGAGGAGCGCAGGAGTCCTGCCTGGCAGCACAGCCTGCGCGGGTGTCAGCAGGATGTCGTCAGGCCAGTGCAAGTGGTTTTTGTGACTGTCTGCAGCCTGCTGTTGCCTCTGTGTCAAAGATTCCGAACTTGAAAACTCTCTGTACTTCACCTGATACGTTAAATAGACTTTCTTGACATTCCCAGTGGGACAGAACGTCTGTATTTTTCTCCCAGTTACAGCGCAGTGACTCAGTAACAGGCACAGGGAAAATATTTGCTGCAGCTGGACGTAAATCTTTTTCTCCCCATTCCCTCTCAGACTAGGATGTGGCTTTTTTGCCGTTGTGAATCCTGGCTTGGAGCAAGGGGAAGGAGCGTAGACGGCGCTGCAGCCAGCACCCTGCTGTCCTGACCCGCTGAGGGGCCTCAACAGCCGGCGCCTCTGCTGGGCTCTGGCCAGGGCCTCAGTGGTGCCCCACGGCCGTCCCGCTCGGTCCCTCCTGCCCCGCGGGCCAGCAAAGCCGCAGGAGGCCGGCCGGACGCCCCTGCGCCGCCCCCACC